AACTTGCAAACCCAAAAGGGTTAATAACTGTAGAGATGTTATCAAAGTGCTTGTGGAAGATATTAAGTGTATCTTCTCCATGAACCCAGTTGATAAACATGTTATCAGTGTCATTCAGGCATAGGATAGACTTTTGGCCATGATGTTGACATTTTTGGAGCCAATTAAATGTCACTGCCAGTGCCCTTGATTTGAAGATTAGCACAGTGTGACTGAAGGTTCTATTACAGCGGGTATATGTGTATGTAATTGATAAGGAGAAGGATTGCTTTAGAGAGGGGGAGGGAGTGAGCTTTTTAAATTCTTTTACTGCGTACAGGTATACTGTATTTATGGAAATTAGGGAAAAACAGAACTATTTGCAGCACAGGGGCCAAACTTTCCAGTCTCTAACTTTTTCTACCTGTCTCCCAGAGCAATTTGCTAGCAACCACTCACTCCTTGGCTTAGCTACCAACTCTCCCCTTTCTCTTCCTCCCTCCCCTTCAGCTTTTCACTAGGAGAGAAGGAGATAAGAAGAGAACTGGCTGAATTACCTTGCTTAAAACTTTTCCTCATGCTTTTTCAGACCTCTGCATAGGCATCCCTCTGCACAGACATTGCATGATGCACCTTCCTCTGGGACTTCTACCCAGCTGTTCCAGGTCTGGGGCTTCTCCAAAGGTTTCAGGCACCTGCTTGCAGGCAGCCGCTTCCCTCTGTGTTCTGTCTGGGTCTTCTCTTCCCCCAGGGAAGCCCCCAGCTGACATCTTCATCCTCTTCTTCCTCTGAGGCCAGGAATCACTGCATGCTCCAACAGCCCAGCTTATGCACAGTGATGTCTCTTTCCAGCCACCAATTTTCCACACAGTCTCTCCTAAGGCTCATTCTGCCTCGATGCCTCACAGCAGCCTAGGCTCAATGTGGCATCGTCTCTCTCTCTCTAATAGAAGCACAAGTTTTTTGTGTTAATATAAGTTTTATTGAAGAAATTTTTAACAAGGTAAAAACAATACAATATTAGAAAGGAAACAAAGAAGTAAGAATAGTGAATACGTAAGAAAGAAAAGAGAAAAAAAAGAGAAGAGATTATAAAGAAGCGACTTCTGACCTTTTTGACAGCGGTTATAAATGAATTTATATTTTACCCTCTATATTTTACCCCCTCAAATTGTGGCACAATTTGATGTCATGAAACATTATAATACTATCAGGATGATAATTTGTATGGATTATATGGATTATGTTCTGACACAAAAGAAGAAAAGAAAGGTAGACACATTCTTGTTTGCCAGAGAATGCCAGATTGGAACTATTTCAAATTTGAATGATAATTTTTGCTTATATTACTTACATGCAATGCTTTAATTATAAACAATTTAACCTCACTTTTACCTCGTTATACTTAATAAAAATATAATTTTGAACTACAAATAAGTTGCTTTATGCATACTAAACTAGAAGCATAAGGTGATGTATTGTTTCAGGATGCATACGAAAGACATACTTTAAAGCAGTTTTTTTTTTTTTAATCTAGAACTGAATATATACATTATCCATTCAGATTATGGAGATCCAAATTGTCTGAATTGTTTTCAACTTAGAAATATTTCAGTGTGTGTGTGTTTGTGTATTTCCCCCTTGTCTGTAGGAAGATGACATTGAATAAGAATGCTAAAATATCTCATTGTAGCCTCTGCCTGCTTATATTAAATGTAACTTATTTTTAACTTTTTGTGTAGTGTTTGACTGATATAATTAAGACTTGAACATTCTCTTGAGAAATAAACAAATTTGTATCTCCCTCCCTCATCTTTATGCTGTAATTTAAATTGTACAATTGTATTATTATACTGATTTTGGACTATATTATTAACATCATTGAATTTTTCTCTAGGGTAAATGATAGAAGTCCTCAATATTTCTTTGTTATGCCTATCACTTAAAGATCAAAGTTATCATTCATCTCAGCACTTTGATTGATGCAGGGCAAGTTCAAAGCTGTACATTCACTATTCCTTTCTGTAGTAAAATTAAATCATGAGTGCTGAAAAGTCTACAGTAAAAACATTACTTCACATTAAAATGCAGTCATTTTGGCTATATATCTTCATTACATCCCTCAAAAAGTAGGCTTTCTTTACTAAATGTGATCTGTACTCATAGATATTGCATATTAGGTTTCCATTTCCAATCCAGTAGCTGACCAAAAACTAAAATTACAATTTAGGGAACACCTCTGTATTATGAAATTATGAAAGAATTAGCAAGATATCTTTTAAACAGCCCTAGTGCCTCTGTCGCTGCTCCAGTAGATGTAACCTGAAACATATGTTTATGGAAAAAATAGTGTTGAATTTGGGTTTAAAAGCCGGTGTTTGTTGAAAAATAAAAAATAGTTTGCAGATTTGCAGGCCAATTTATCCAAATAATTGTGCAAACAATCCATCATGTTGAAAAATCTTCATTTAAAGTTAAATGGATTAATAATTCCTTTTAAAAATTGCTTTCTCACTGAATTATCATAATTGTTATAAGCATCATGTGTTAATCATTTGGTGGCATATAACCTCGTTAAGCAAATTTTATTGGGTGACCATTTATGCATCTAGCCCAACTTCCTGCTCAGTGCAGAAATCAGCACTTTTTCCTTTTTTGCCTGCCAAAAAGTTTTTGCTCACCAGTGAGTTTAATGCCCCAATCAATTACATCCACTTATTTTGGCTGTTTCCCACTTTTTTCCCCAAAAATTGATTGACAGGGTTATCAATCAATGGCTGACAGTTACCTCTGTTAGAGAATTTATGTACCCACACTGTAATTACATCAAGGTTATCGCACCAATCAATTATGTCTGCGGTAGGCAAAAGCCTTTTGACGGGAGATTCTAACACTAGTGGCTGTTAAAAGGAACAAGATCCCAGAAATCCAGTTAAAGTATCGCTGATGGATGATTCTCGAGTCTTTCCCTAAATGCCTCCAATAAAGGAAAGACCACACCTCTGGCCACCTGTCATACTGCTCTTATTGTTAGGAGTTTTTTAAATTTTTGTTTTGTTTTTTACATATAAATTGAATCCACCTACCCACAACATAAAAGCATTATTTTTTGTCCAGTGCCTGGTGAAGTTGTTCAGTGGCTTTAGATTCAACATGGTTGTCCAGATTTCATTCTTTTCAAAGATGTAAGCTTTGATGGGTATTCATATAGATCTAGAGATTTATATCAGTTCCCATCTACTGAATGTTAAGAACCATCTTAATAATTTCTTTACTATCTTCTGATGGGCAACTTTTCTCCCCTGGAATCCATGCATAATACTGACCAGTCCTGTAAATTTAGTGATTAAAAATGGTCTTGTACCATGCTTAGATATTAGAGCATACCAAATAAAAATACTTCTACAAAAAAAAAAAAAAACTTTAAACCTATGTTAGTCTGATGGGATTATTAAGGTGTGTGTCAAATTATAGCCTAGAAGGATTGGCTAAAATAATTTTAAGGGGTAAATTTAATTATTAATCTTAGCAATTTAGAAGCTTGACACCATTGAATGAAAGCTATTTTATGATATCCTTGGTTTCTTTTTAAATTCTCCCTTATAACAGTTCAGATTTCCAACCCATCTTCCTACCCACAACTGCTCAAAAATAATTTGAGATGCTGTCATTCTTTGTCATTTAATATATTCAATAATTGAAATCTATTCTCACTAAAACAGGTTGAAACTAGTGAGTAGAGTATATTACAGAGGAGAGCAAGAGAAATTCTGACTGCTTGTCATCTTGCTTCTGATTTTCTAGAGAACTAGAAACTTCTTCCTTACTGAAAATAATCAGTAATTAGTAATCAGTCAGCATAATATTCCTCTATATCTTACTATTAATAAAAATTAGATTTTGTGTTTTCCTCAAGTCAGAACACAATATAATTGGGTAGACTGAAAGACCATAAAGAAATTGTGTAACTGGCTTTTTTTGAGTACAAGAATCGTTGATTAGGAAGTTGCCTTCTATTTCTTTCCTTGATTCACCATGATTCACCTGAGTCCCGTCTTTTATGGAAAACTATACTCAAGAAAGTTTGTTCAAGAAATTTTCTTTACGCAGAGATCATCTGCTCAACTTTAGACTTGCTTCTTGCCTTTGCATATGAGTAAAGTAATTAAACACGAAGTAGTAGAATAATGACAGTATATCTGCATTAAGTACAATCATTTAATATGGGAGGTTTGGTCCATTTACCGAATGGAGACTTTTCAGCTATTAACCAGATTTGAAATTAGTGGGAATTCTTCTGTATTGATCCTTCTGGATATTTCAGTAGTTTTGGTAGGATGAATTGTGAAATTTTAAACATCTGAAGGTTCATCTGATTGAATACAGCTGTTTTGTAGTAGTTTTGCTCCTGACAGCTAGAGCAAACCAGGCTGATTCAGTCTCCCAGAAATTATAGGACTCTTCTTGACTCATGTTCACTAATGCAATTTCTATTCATAAGCTTTTTGGAAAGGTATTCTGAACTTTGGACATCATCATATTTCTGTTGATATCCAGCTTGTATGCTAAGCATCCACAAAAATCTATTGGGAATGTCCTTTAGAGATAAAGTCCATATTTTCAAAGATGTTAGCCACAAAATCTTAGTCTTGCAAAAATTCTTAATATAAATATTTCTTTGTTTTTGCTGCAAGTTGACTCAAGGTTTTTAAGAGATGGGAGATATTTACGTATTAATATTAATATTATATATGTTCTATGATTAGTAATATTCTATTATAAAATAATAGAACAATAATATTCTATTATTAGTAATATATACATATATAATATTATATAAATATATTATAAATATAAATTAATTTATATTCTATCTATATTTAGTTTAAATTTATATATTATACACACACACACACATACACATACATATATTTATATATTAATATAAAATACATCAATTGCTTATATCAGTTTGTAGGTTCTATTAATATGTTCTTCTGGTCTCTTATTCTGCTTTGTAGGAGAAGCCTACATGAGACTTAGCAGATTCTCTGAAGCAGAACATTGGTATGTGGAATCACTGCGCTCCAAAACTGATCACATTCCAGCTCATCTCACATATGGGAAACTTCTTGCTTTAACAGTAAGTAAACTATCTGGAAAATAGCAGTAGAGTTTTTGAGCAAGAGAAAAACAATCCTATTTGTCACATATACATTCATACTCATCTCACTATTTCTTTTCAGGGCAAACAGTGCTATGGAAAGAGCAGTAAAGGAATAAGAAATAAGAAGTGAAAGAAATTAAATTAAAAGCATGAGATGAGAGAAAAAAGAGATAATTCCACTGGATGAGACCATATATATTGACTTTCATAACCCATTATGGTTCTTGTCAATTGGGGGCTTTGGCATAATGCTTCTTAGTAAGTTAAGAAGGAATAAAGTAGATTACCACCCTTAATTGTACCCATGCTACATGGAACAGTGTTGGTCTTTGTTTGTTTGCCACATTTGGTTAAATATGCTCCAAGCCCAGCCCAATTTATCCCAGGCATGCTCTTCTTATTTTATGCAAGCTAGGATTTCTAACCTAGAGACTACCTTGCAAACCATTATATTGTTGTTCACAATCCATCTACTAGGAGATACAGGAAGGGTACTGACAGACTCAGAATGCATTCTCTTTGTCAGCATTCTACTAAATCTTTCTTCAGATTCCTATCCAGATGTGTTAGACTACAAAAACAAAGGCCACATTAGCTGGGTTTATGGGAATTCTCACCCCTTACATCTTTAAGGTGAGAGCCAGAGTAGTGTTGTGATTAGAGTGCTGGAATAAGGGCAGGAATACTCAGTTTCTAATCCTCCCATAGCCATGGAAGCTGACTGGGTGATTTAGCTAGTCTTTCTCAGACTGGGAAGTCCAAAAAATCTACCAGCCTGAACTGGACCAATGTGGTCAATGAAGAGACTTTCATTCTTCAGTGAACTGATTCAGGAGGAGGAGGAGGAGGAGGAGGAGGAGGAGGCAGCAAAAGCATCTATATTTCACTAAATTAGGAA